ACGCCCTTTGGTTGGCTAGTGTATTTACTTTGGTTTTGGTTTTACGACAGTCAAGTGAAAACCGCTCTATTATGTAATATCTGGTGTTAAATTCATTCACTCTTACTGGGCAAGAATACCATACATTTGTATTTGTAACAAATCTAAGTGCTTGCAGAAGACCCTGTTATGTGATAATTCAAATGAAACCCGTCAGTGGAACTTTCACATGCCATTTCATTTTTTCTAAGGTTTTAGAAAACAAAATTAATGGTAATTTTCATTTCTAATGGCTAGTTATGGAAACCCCTGGAAAGAAAGTTTGATTGGCTTAGAGCACTGGAATTTCAGCTTAATTTGAAATACCTACATGTGAAAATTACAAACCCTTTGAGGGCAGTATAATAGTATAAATAAATAATAGCATGATTTGTACGTGATATTTTGCATAAATACCATTCGTGATATTTCAAAATTGTCTCAAATTTCAATCACCTGATGGCTCATGAAATTACGTAAAACAATTTTGAAATATCGCTTGTGGTATTTATGCCAAATATCACTACAAATCATGCTATTACCTATACAAATTCTCTCCTTACTATTCTCGCATGTTTTTGTGTGTCATTAGAGAATAAGTATAAGCTATAAAGTAACACTATCATGCATGGACAAGCTCCTAGAAGCAGAGGGCAGGGTAGACCATGGAGATGTTGTGTAACAGTCATCTGTGAATGGACACGGAGTACACCATCGCAGGCTATCAGGCTTGCTGAGAAGAGAGACTTAAGAATAACCCAGCATCAGAGTGTGTCTACAAATCCTGAGAGATCTTTGGCGTAAAAGAATAAGATAAAGTAATGTTTTGCATCATTTTTTTTGCAGCCTGCACTGTCAGTACCCATCCATGTTGTTGAGCTCACAAATGTTCCACCAGAATTAAGAATGAATACAGGGTCACCATTACCAAAACCAAGTGACACAAGACAAGTTCCAGAAGCCGACAAGGATAAGGTAGGATAAAAGAACTGCACTTGAAAAGTGGTGAAGATCAAGAAATGATAGTGGTGATGAGGATGATAGTTAAATGACAATGGGAAAGCGTTAACTGTTTAAGCCCCAATAGTGACCAGCATCTAATTTCCCCCAACAATAACACTGCCTGATCAAACAGACAGCTCATGAGAATTAATGAAATGATCACCAAAGATGAAATGTTGTGATGTTACAACAAATTCTCTCAAGTAGCACCATAAGAAATGTATGAGGAACAGTGTGGAGAAGATGAATGTTGATGTTGGGGCTTAAAGGGTTAAAATGTTGTCAGTGCCACTAACAAGGATGCTTTTAAAAACACAATCTCATAATGGCCCGCGAATAGAGCCATCCATCCTTGCTGCCAGGGACACATATGCATCAGAAAAACAGAAATGGCACACCGATGACATATAATCTGTCCAGAATCTGGTCAGGGGCTCTGATTTGTTGTAGTAGTCGGGGTTCTTGTTAAGTGCCGGCAGCCGGCTAAAAAACCGGCTACTTGAACGTTTGAGCCCTCTACTTTTTGGAGCAATAGGGTAAAGTGAGAAAGTGAAATCCTGAAGTTGCCTACAGCATTTAGTTTCCAAGCCGCCTATATTTACATCATAGCTGTCCACTTTAAAACTTAAGGAGAACCCCGTGTAGTAAATATATTCTTTTAGCCATTGTTTTTGAATGACAGACAAAAGACAAAAGGTCACAAGGTCAAATGTAAACAGAAGAAATCCACTACAAAACAGTCAGTATTTGTGGAATATAATTATTCTTCTCTAGATGAAGTATTTGAGTTTTCCTGCACTTGTTGCAGAAAAACTCAAGAAAGAAACATAAAGTCGAAAATTTACATTCAGAGCCCCATGACCACTCGATCAAAAAAGTCATCAGTATGGTGTTTGTATCATTCTGGTGCAGACGCTTCTCCTGCCAAACCTCTCTTGTGGTGAGGAGATAGGGAGACGGCTGTAATCACAGGGTAACACTTAAATGGATCAACACAGATTGTCTTTTCTATGGCAGTTCATGTCATTCCTAGCCTGCGTAGCTGGCGGTATTGTGTGGGTGCAAGATTAACGTTTTGGCGGCGGAGCCGTGTTCCAAAAAAAGGGAGTAGGGATGAGCTACGCAGGCTATGTCATTCCTGGCTTTTTAAATAACAAGTGCCATTTTATTGTGACTCCTAGCAAGCCAAAGGCAAGTATGTTCCAAGTTGGGTGAAAGTGAAATATGGTGCATGGTACCTGAGTCCNACATCTGCATCAAATAACAGAAATGGCACACCGATGACATATAATCTGTCCAGAATCTGGTCAGGGGCTCTGATTTGTTGAAGTAGTCAGGGTTCTCGTTAAGTGCCGGCAGCCAGCTAAAAAACCGGCTAGTTGAACGTTTGAGCCTTCTACTTTTTGGGGCAATAGGGTAAAGTGAGAAAGTGAAATCCTGAAGTTGCCTACAGCATTTAGTTTCCAAGCTGCCTATATTTACATCATAGCTGTCCACTTTAAAACTTAAGGAGAACCCTGTGTAGTAAATATATTCTTTTAGCCGTTGTTTTTGAATGACAGACAAAATACAAAAGGTCACAAGGTCAAATGTAAACATAATAAATCCACTACAAAACAGTCAGTATTTGTGGAATATATTCTTCTTTAGATGAAGTATTTGAGTTTTCCTTCACTTGTTGCAGAAAAACTCAAGAAAGAAACATAAAGTCGAAAATTTACATTCGGAGCCCCATGACCACCCGATCAAAAAAGTCATCAGTATGGTGTTTGTATCATTCTAGTGCAGACGCTTCTCCTGCCAAACCTCCCTTGTGGTGAGGAGATAGGGAGACGGCTGTAATCACAGGGTAACACTTAAATGGATCAACACAGATTGTCTTTTCTGTGGCAGTTCATGTCATTCCTAGCCTGCGTAGCTGGCGGTATTGTGTGGGTGCAAGATTAACGTTTTGGCGGCGGAGCCGTGTTCCAAAAAAAGGGAGTAGGGATGAGCTACGCAGGCTATGTCATTCCTGGCTTTTTAAATAACAAGTGCCATTTTATTGTGACTCCTAGCAAGCCAAAGGCAAGTATGTTCCAAGTTGGGTGAAAGTGAAATATGGTGCATGGTACCTGAGTCCGAAGACATGGAAAGCTCGGCCAAAGGATGAACCATTACAAGATCCTAAGGAACAACAAGATAAAGCTTTATCAGAATCCAAAAAGAAAAGTCATAAACTGGTAAGATCCACAGCCTACACTAGCGTACCCATAGATTCCATTAATGAATCGATTATTTGCTAACCTGTATCAAATTCAAATCAGCATTCCTGCATGGGTAACGAGTAGCAAATTTTGGCTACAAGTCCTCAGTATTTGGTCAGATTGAAAGATCTTTGAATGGACAGAATTGCTTTGAAGACATTGACATGAAATTCAAGAAACCTGAGGCTGAGCTGGCAGAAATTTCATAACTACCTCGTGTGAACTCTCTTCTCATTACACATGCAGGGATGCAGAAATGAATCTGAAGTCTACAACTACAAATGGATTCAACTTTCAAATAATATATTCTTTAATGGAATCTTAGCTTGACTGTAACGTATAAGAAAAAAGTCCAATGTAATGTTCATGTATGTATAAAAACGTTTTTGAAAGAATGCAAAAAAGGTTAGAAATACTTCTTTAGCAAGTCAAGATTATTCCCTCCATTCTTGTCCTTTTATTAGCTGTTGGCTACTTTTTGATAAAAAAAACAATCGCCAGTGTGCTGTATTGCGATCCCTTTTCGAAAGTTTGTCGCTACGTGGCAATGCAATAATTTTACAAGTTTAGTTGTAATGGGATCCAGAGATTACTGCTTGGGACTGTTAAAGAAAAAAAGTAATTTAAATATGTTAAAATTAATTTAGAAATGATTACCATTTCTGTTGTGAATTTCTGATGACCATCTTTCTGTAGGATGCTGTACTTTCAAGCATGCATGGAGCAAAGGCTTTTAAAGAATTTATAGACAAGAAAAACACCAGAGTACCAGAATTCCTTGAGGCTGTGTCTGATCAACAAGAGCAAGTCAAGGCTGAGGCAGAGGAGACACAAGAGAGAAGGAAATCTCGCTCCATTAGCACTCAGCATACACAGTTTGGAACATCACAGAACTATGTGTTCTGATTTTAGATACATCAGTAGAAAGATAATGCCAGACCTTTTACTGGCGCTTAAAAGAAAAATGTGACTGGAAAAAATATTGCCTCTTGCATTTGTACAGATACTTGTTTTATTCTTTTGACATTATTTTAAATGTAAATAGTTTTGTAAGTATACATTGTATAGAACAATATTTATTGTAAAATACTAGAATGAAAATTATATTCTGGTAATAAATTATTATTGAAAAATATCTCACCAGATCCTTTCTTGGAGAATAGTGGAGAAAACCTTTTGTGAAGACTGAAGAAAAGTTATTTCCACATTCACTTTCCCACAATAAATTAGCATGGCTCCTGCTTTTATCAAATTAACTGGTGTTGTGAGCATAGAAAAGTGGAATCTGCTTCAATTCATAGGGGCACCCAACGAGAATATAGTTCAAAACCACTTACTCATAGCATTGTTAAGCGTATTTTAGTATTTAAACGGTAGATATAGGCATATTTTTATCCCCTAAAAATTTTTCATCTGTTCGGATTTCCTAGCTGAAAGTCTAGTGATCCGAAAATTATAGGGATCAAAACTTACCTTTTCCAAAACTCCAGCCAGAAAAAAGGCTCCCGAAAAATTCTAGGTGACCTTTTTAGGGTAAAAATCCTTAAAAAATAGGCAATTGTACCATTTTTGGAAAATCCTAGGAGAAGCAGGCAAGCAAGAAATTTACAACAAATGTTCCGAAAATTCTAGATCTCAAATTGTCTTCCGAACAGATATTTTCCGAAAATTGTTGTTGGGTGCCCCTAAATTCAGGGTTACTTTTTTATCATTTCTTTTAAACCATCAAGGTTTTTAGGTCACTGCAATCACAAAAAGTCCTGAAACTAAGCCAGCTGCTAATGACACCATTAGAATGGTAAACATGTGACGCTGGAACCAGGTTGGTTCTACTGTTTCTTCTACTTGTTTTCTTGGTCTTCGTTTCTTTCCACGCTGTTTCCTCTCAAACCACTCGAGTTCCTCCTGCAAGAAAAATTAATATACTTGTAAATTTATGTATTATTAATATACGCAATTCATAATCTTGGAATTTCTGTGTTTCTTGGTTATCCTGTGGAACCCAAAGTGGCCATTTGCAGCAAGTTCCTGCATTTTCAGCTCGATTTTGAATAAATTACATTATATGTGCACATGCATCACCCTGGTTCTAGCCTGCGAGCAGGCTCATATGCAATCTCGTTCCCAGAGGCCGTGAACCTTTTGTACAGTAATGGGGATGCCCCTTCCGCTGGGCAAAAGTAACAGAGGCTCTGGTGACAAGATTGGCTCACTTGTGCGAGTTTGGGGAAAGTCAGCCTGCTCGCAGGCTACCCTGGTTCCATCAAGGACAAAAAGATGACATAACACATCAAAAGCACAGAGTTATTTGAGTGTGCCAAATGAATGAAATTTGGAGTTGTTTTCAAAGCAGGCTTTATCACTGAAATGGCGATTCTGCCCCACCTTTCTCGGTTTTACTACATTGTTAGGTCAAGATGTTACACTGGGTCAAATTGGAGCAAAGAAAAAGGAACGAGAGTCAAAGATCACATGAAAAATGGCGAGTAAAAGAGCGGCGTTGGCTCTCGTTCCATTTTTCGCGTGACCAAAACTGAAAATCTTGTTCCTTTGTCTTTCTTTGCTCCAAAACCACACAGAAACGCGTGCTACACAGGCTTCGTCCTTGTGGTTCTTGAGGCCCTTCAATCCCTGCCGTCGTTATTGCTGTTGTGGTCCTTGTGGTCATGGTAGTTGTGGCCATTGTGGCCCTTTTGTTAACTGGATCACTCTTTATTATTTCTCCTGACTTTAGAAAACTTTGTCCCAAAAAGTGAAGCCATAAATAATGAAGACCTTATTAAAATAATTGCTTGACTAAAGACAGTATAGGACTTATTCAGTCTTCTACAAGATTTGCTAGCTCTGGAAACTAACCATCTTGGAACAATTTTTTTTTTTCTGACAAGCGCACAAGTAAAAGTAAAGGATTGGCAGAAGGATCAGCCATAGGAGAGAAGAATTTAATACCTGCTGCGCTTTACGTTGTTTTTCTTTTCTGATTTCATCTTCCTTTGAGGCCAGTTTCTCTTGACTTGCTTTAAATGCATCACAGTCTTTGTCACAGTCCATTTTAGCTTCACCTTTCTGGACCACATGGCAAGGGAAATCCTTAAGAAAACACATAAGGCAGAAACCTATGAGGCATTTATATCTGGAATGCTGAACAAGATATTCTGTAATTAATCTGTTATTACTAATGATAATAGGACTGAGTGGAGTCCAATTCGGCCTGTATTCATGCGAGTGATTAACAAAATCGGATGACTGCATAGCATTATAAATCAGGACAGTTGATAGCCAATCAGATTTGAGAATTTTGCTATAGTTATGATTGACAATATTATTGTATGGGGCTGACTTACACAGAGGATGTCGAGGCCTATTCATATTACACAAAAGCTGGGTCCAATAATTGTTTTATTTTTAAGTTTTTAACAACCTTACCTCCTCGTAGAGTTTCTTCAAAACATTAGCCTATTTCTCAGCACGGTTTCAGGATATAAACAGATTTTTTTGTCACAGAGATTTCTCAAAAACTAGATGAAATCAATCGAGTAATATTTTTTGCACTTTCTTAACCACGCTGACCAAAACTTTGAATTTTTTGATTGACTGTTGAACTACTAAACTCAAACTCCTTTCTTGTCAGTCTGACCTGTGATTGCCTGATTAATAGTTGGGTTTGTGTTCCCTTTGGAGTTAGCTACATTGTAATTATTGCTTTGACTTTGGAAAAAAAGCCTGAATATTCTCTCCTCTACTCACAGATACAAACAAAGTTCATTTGGAAGTAAATATATAATTGCAGGAAACAGATAGCTTGAGAAACTCTTTGGAACATAACTATTCATAACAGATACCGTAAAATTCCAAAAATGAGCCCCTCCATGTTTAAGCCCCTCCAAATATAAGCTCCCCAAACTCGTAATGCAAAAACCCCTCCGTTAAATTGCCCCTCCAAATCTAAGCCCCCCGGGGATTGTACTTGGAAAATTGCCCTCAAATACAAAGTAAAACAAAGCAAAAACGGTAAATTTACTTCCAGCTATAAGGCTTGCCCAATCTATTTTGAAACTCAAATTTCCCTCCATATAAGGGCCTTTACAAAATATAAGCCCCGGGGCTTATTTTCAGAATTTTACTTTACTAGATTAAAAACAAGCTCACTTTCTTTTTCCGTCTGCAAGGACATCTTACAGCAGTTTTCTTACTACATGTCTTGGGTGAGGGACAGGACCCGGCATGGCATAGAGATGGGCAGCGGTGACCACACGCAGCAAGGTTCTTTGGGCACTGATTTTTACAGGATGTTAGATCATTACGTGTTTGTTCATCTGATGAAGTCAGCTCGCTAAAATGAATGGAAGTTGAGGTAAACAGTGAGAAAAATACAAATGGGCATAGAATCCCATTCAAATGAGGTGGTAGGTGACCAGTGGGAATATAATCTTCAGTAAAAAGTACTTTGTATCACTGGCAGAGAAAAGAAAAGTTCCACTGAGACTGTTTGAAAAATTATCTTTCTTACATATTCACTTGGCTCTGAATTCACCATCACACATAAGCACACATCGGCATTCTTGTCCTAGCAGTACTTCTACTTATGCAGGATTTTTGTGACATGAACCTAGTTTAGTAGCCTTGGCCACTAAAATTGTCATCCACAGTTCATCCTATCTGGTATACTACAGCACTGGGAACATTGACCATCAACATCAAGAAAAAAGTTGTCTGCATTAACACATGTCCGTATTACAGTCAACCGGGAAAACTGTAAACACCAAAAATATTTCTGGAATGTTATTGTGATGTGAGAAAAAAGCCAATCAGGCATGAGAAAACTAAACTGCAAGCAAGAACATTAATCAGGAAATGCTTGCTCGCATGTGCTGATCTTTGCTGTGATTAGTCGTAACACAAAATGCATTCCTGAAATATTTCAAGTGTTCACGGTTTTCCCGGTGGCACTGCAAGTGGGTTGAATTATTTAAGAGAAAATGTAAACTGCTTTCCTAAAGGAAAAAAAAAACTGTCTGTAATAACGAGGTGACTCCGTATTAAGTGGGTGTCTATAAAGCGGGGTTCAACTGTATCTTATACAAAATCTAGGAATTGCTGTATCATAAAGCGTTATGAAAAAAATGCTAATAGCTGTGGGACAATAGAGTCCCTAAGATACACCATTTCTGGCTATGGGTACAGGTAGGTGCTGGTGGACATGTCTGCTACGTAGTTATTTAAAAGGTAACCATGATTTCCCAGATGTGATAAATGCATCACCATCCTAACCTGTAGCCTGGCCATTTCTCTGGGGTAAGAAGTTAACCTAGCCATACACGCAGGAATGGTGTATCTTAAGGTCTCTAATTACAAATTAATAAGATGTTTGATACCTGCAAGACACATAAACTGGCATCAGTCTGCAGTGACATAACAACTTTACCACCTGTTTACAACTTGGACAATCACCTAAAATAAACAATCAATATAAAGTCAGCCTCAATTCAGTTTTCACATGCAAGAATCATTTTAAACATTGCTGCAGTTTCTCTCAGAAAGCTAACATTCATTATTCTTTTATGACAGTTAAATTGTCACCTTTGTGACATGGTAGTGGACAGTCATGGGTGCATCCTTCTGGGCGTGGCTTGGTGCAAGGTTCCTCGCAAACTTGACATTCCCTACCAGCCTATACAACAGACAAAAAAAATTACTGGTAAGTGAAATGTTCTCAATAACTATAATTATACTACTGTTATTGACTACAGTTAATATAGTGTTGAGGAATTGAGGACTATTTTGGAGAGCACTTTAAGACAACAGGTACAAAAAGCAATACATTTATTGTTATTTATTATTTATTAACATGGCTCAGGTTTTTAATAAAGGGTCAGAAAGATTTGTAAACATGAGATGATTTTGTTGTTTTCATTAATTTTTGCCTCAAGGGGGTTTAATTTCAGAAGGTCACTAAACACTGATCTAAATTCTTCTGAAAAGTACAAGATCAGTATACTGATAAAGGAACTATGGGCAGATGAGGTTTTGTTATTGAAAAATAAAGGTGCTGTAAATCAACAATAATGTAAAATAGTGTGATTTAAATTAACATAGATGTAAATTAAGATGCATTAAATTAAAGCAATTTTTTAAAATCGCATTAATAAAGTGCATCATTAATTTCCTATAAAAAGGTGAGTGGCAGTTTATGGTACTCAAGGGGAGACTGGAGGCTTGAATAACTCACAGTGCACTTCTTTTCTGTCCGGGGCGATATGTACTGAAAGGTGAGGATGTATTTCCATAACTTAACACTTAACCTACAGTAATTAATGCTATTTTAATTACTCATACCTCTTGGTCATTCGTGGCTGCCTCACTGACAACATGACACTCCAACTGACATGTGTGGTTTCCACATGGCAACTGTCGTCCGCAGGCTTGTGCACAAGAGAATGGTTTGGCAGAGTGACATGGCAGGGTGGAGACCTATGACAAAGAAATTTATTCTTAGGCTTTTTTATATTAATAAATAATTTATGATAAAACACTACACTTAAATTTTGAAAAACCCAATATTATACATGTAGACCACATACCTCATGTTTTCCAAAGCAGCTCCTATCATAATTTAAAAAGAATATTAAATGCTTAATTGAAACATTAAAAAGTAAAGTATGGAACATTACACATGCTGGGCTTATTGTTGACAAATATATTTTCCTATTGAAGATATCCTTTCACACTCAAGAGTCCACCTGTTTGAGTATTTTGAATGACATATTATGACAGTTATAAATAAATTACAATGATGACATTTCTCTTAAATTTGTAAATAAAAATTTGTCTTTTTTAAGTAGGTGTGACACTTCAAATGAAAACTACATTAGAGTTTTTTCCTAGAAAATGCCACTGTCTAATAATAATAATCTTTATTTCACTAATAAAGGTATATAACAAGTGTTACATGGCCTTTATAAAAATAACTAGTGAGTAAAAACTTAAAATGCAAAAATTGCATTTTAATTCCTATCCTAGATTATAGCTAAGTCAATCTAAAAGTGCTCAGCATTGCAGACTGGAAAAGTGAATTTGACATGTCTAAGCCTAAAAGTACAAAATGTTGCTGGATTGATTCTGGAAAGTGATTGAAACAAAGGATGTCCTTTGCCCTCGCTTAGTTTGTTTATGTGTTTATCTGACTTAGGGCCTGTTTACATGGAGGCGGGGACCACAGGTAGGCGAGGCAACATTTGGCGGGTCACCCCACCTATCATGTAAACGTGATCAAATTAAAATGAGAGATTATATGGACAGGCGGGTTACCCTACCTAGGCCGGTTACCTCACCTACCTGGGGTCCCCCACCTCCATGTAAACAGGCCCTTAACTAACCAATATAAATGGAAAATGGAAATGGGAAAGGAGGTCTGGCTGGGTCAGAGCGCACAACTACTCACATTTCAACTGGAACAGCACATGGTGGGCATGGCATCGGAACAAACTCAGCAGGATTTGAGGCAGACTTAAACCCAGCTGGCCAACCATTGAGTGGTGTCTAAAAATAACCAGCTCAAAAGTTAGTCATGCAGACTAGCATTAATGTAATAAAAATTTAACTACTGCAAACAGAACTAATAATCTGCTGCAAAAGGAGACAGGGTTGCCACTCTTCAGAAAGTTAAAAATTCCCTGACTTTTCACTGGCCTTTCAACAGTTTTCATTGACCTTTTATTAATGAGAAACAATCCATATTTACATTCACTTTAGCTTTTTTTGCAGGCTTTTTTTTTGTTTTCTCTTCATTTTCAACCTCTTTCCGCTTTTCGCAGAAAGAGGGAGAGGGAATTTGGAAGAAAGCATTCACAACAAAAACCACTGACCACAACTACTACATGTGTCAGGTGCAGCATCAAATTTATCACCTTGCTTGCTTTGCAGCATACTTTTCGGCTTTTCCGAAAGATAAATGTATTTCAAAATCTTGAGGAAAACTTATGAACTATAAACCAGAAAACAGAATTCCCTGACTTTTCACTGACTTTGACAATATCAACGATTTTCCCTGACTTTTCCCTCACCATGGCAACCCTGAGGAGAGCTAAGTGTCTGTCAGATTATCTGCCTTTTGAAGATGACATTTTTCAGTCAGTGACATGGCTGACTCAGAAACAAAATGAGAGTTCTCCCAACAAGATGCGGGCTTACGACTTCACCACTTGAACTGGGTACTAGTACAGGTGCTCTACAACTTAAGTTACAGGAGACTCATGAGAACTATAAGGCCTGGTTTTGTTTAAATCAATATTCATTTTCTTTACCCTATGATTTATAAGTTGAAACGAAGGAGAAAAAATTGATTTGAAATAAAGTGACAACTTTATATGAAAATATGACATTTTCAATATTTTTGTAATGATATTGGATTGTCATTTTTGAGCCCAGTCTTAGTTCATGAACATTCACTAACATTTGCACAACTTTAAAACTAAAAAAGAACTGACCTTAGGGACTTTAGATGGATCAGGTTTGTTGTCATGGCAACGGGCAGGACAGGTATGCCTGCAAGGATGTACAAGATCACAGCGTTGGCTACAGGGAGGACATGCACCATAATGACAGCGATGAGGCTAAAAACAATGAGGAGATAATTTTTGATTTAACAAAAGATTTTATGAAACATTTAAGGTTAAAAAGCAACACTATTAAAACATGATGTTTTGTTGTGTATCACACCTTCATTTCCTTTACATATCATTTCATAGTCTCTTTCATTTGCGTTTGATAATGGTGACCTGTCGTCACCAAAACATCATGTTTTAATAGCATTGCTTTAAATCCTTAAAAGATATTTTTTAAATTAAATAATGACTGCTTACTGAGATAGAATAACTGAGTTCTCACTTGTTTCAAGGGAATTTTCATATACCTGGAATTTCTTTCAGTGATCAAAGCAATGATATACTAGCGAATTACATATCTTGTACGTATCGTTGAAGGAAACCTTTGCCCAATGACCCTCCTTGTCTTTATTGTGTTCGAGTGTCATAGATTATATTGTATAAAATATAATACATTAATATAAATTAATAACCATATTATTATTATGGAGTGTGCAGGACAATGTGTGTGGTAGGTGGTGAAAACACACAAGTTCAGATTGCGAGTGATAGAAGGTCCAAATGTGCATGGCCAGATTGCATTTCTTCTTTCTGTGTATTCCACTCATTCTTAGCGGACGTCCAAACAAAGCTGGCTACATGTGTGCCATGCACACATAAAAGCAGCCTGGAGATTGGGATTGTGGGCTCAACTTGTTGCCTGCCATTATTACGCATCATGTCTGTTTTTTAATATCAACCTTTTCTAACCTTGCGTTGTTTGTGATGACAATCTGGAGGATGTCTAGATCGATAAAACAAAATCAGGGTATTAAATTAGGACAAAAGCCAGCAGAATAATTGATAAGAATTATTAGTTTCCGACAGTAAAAATCAAATGTTCCTCCTAAAATGTACTCCAGCAGGGAAAAGAAGAACAAGATAAAAACACTTACGTGCACAGTTCAGAACATTTTGGTGGCTTAGTGACTCTTTCACGGCCACATGGTAAAGTTAACACTGTTGCACCACAGAAACACTTTATGTCCACTGGCAGGGGGCAGGGGTAACATTGGCCTACAAGCAATCATGTCATTAAATACTAAATTTATATTAATCTTTACCCACACTGCATGCACCTGTTTGGAAAATACCTATTTAGAGGACAGTTGGTTTTACTGGAATAAGATAGTGACTTAAATGGCAGACAGTATTATTATTATTTGAACTAATGGACACTGGATATAAATAGGACCACACCCACCAGAGTCGCTGAGAGTAAACAATTTTCCAAAGATCCATATGGAAAGTAAAAACATATCTTTGAATACCTCTAGGATTGGTTGAATAATAAGGCTGTAAGACATTTCTCTATCACTTTTCTTCCAACAAAAAAAAAATGACAACTTTTTACATAAAATTAATTACCTCTGTGACACTGTGATGGACATTTGTGATTCCGACAATTCAGGGTTCGGTTGCAAGTCTGTTCACATGGAGGGCAACTACCACCACAGCACTGAAAGCAAATACGTAAAATTTAATATATGCTATGAACATCACCAGAAAGCTGAAGAGAAGCGTCACTGCTTGCTGCAAAAACAGCTCCCCTCTCCCCTCCTCCAACCTCATCTGCGCCATGGGCAGTAGGGCTGCTAATTGACTGGAGGGGTGTCTAGGATTTTTATGGCTACATGTATTTTATGAAATAATTCAGACATTGTGACTGTGCGATATGGTTATTTTGTACGTTCTTTTGTCATAATGTGACTGTGTGATGCAGTCATCCTGTCAGTCCACAAATGACCTGCTCATCACTGGAGTTCCCAGTAGCTTGAGCAGTGGTTAGAGCATCTGATCAGTGTTTTTGAAGATTGTAGAATCAATCGCCATCTGGAAGTCAGAAACCTTTTTCAGAGTTTTTTCTCTCCACACAAATTATTCTGTTTTAATAATAATTCAGACATCTTAAGAATAAACTCCCACCTTTCTCTTACACTGATGCCGTTCACATTGCCTCATTTTAAGGCATTTTAATTCACATAAGAACTCCTGTGAACAAATGACATCTTTCTCACGTTTGCCACAACGACAAGTTTTGGTCACCAACTGCCTGCAGATGCCACATGATCCTGTGTGACACTGCTGAGTACATTTATGTCTGCCGCAAGTTAACGGTTTATCGCACGTACCACCACAAGTTGGAACATCCTCAGTGCAGGGCAATGAAACAGCTGTAAGAGTCAGAGATTTTGTGTTAAATGTATTTATATTTTGATTAAGGATGCATTATGTAAACAGTGCCACAATAATTTTGCAACATTTGTCCCCAAAATTTTGTCCTTGATTGTAGCTGGATCCTTGCCCTGACAAGTATATATAACAGATAATTATTATATAAAATTATGTGAATTATATATCCAGTATATGTCTAGGATCAATGAAAAGTACAGTGTAAGCTGAGTGTTCAGAATGTTACAGCCAGCAGGTCAAAATTCAGGTTAAAATTTTTGGATTAATTTTGGTTTCTGGGAAACTACCCACATACCCCTACCTTAAGCTAACATTAACACTCACTCCTCACTTAAGGCATAATGACAGCTTAGGGGAGGGGTAGGTGGGCAGTTTCCCAGAAATCTAAATTGATCCAAATTTTTTAGTCATGTTGTTGAGTCTCAATAACCTTTGTCTCCTAGCTCTTATTCATGAATAATTATGGCTGGCCAGGCCAAGACGAAGGTTACAATATTTTCACGTAAAATTAGTTTTGACCTGTAACATATATGCTTTGTTTATAAATCACTAAAAAAAAAAGTTGTGAATAGAAATGGCTGTTTTACTCACAAGTTTGTCCACAGGGACATTTCCTTTGTCCTGTCCTTGGACAATCACCACAGCTGTCTGCATGACACACCCTCTCACATCGGTGATGACCACACGACAAGACTTTGTTGCAAACCTGAAAGGATTTAGAAGTACATATTTAGACCAAAGACTTCCACAGAAGGCCTAGGGTATGCAGCCAGAGAAACACCAACAAACATGGATCATAATACGTTGGTGGGAAACTGCCCCCTACCCCTCCTCTAAGCCAACATTAACACTTATTTCTCACTAGGGCAAAATGTTGGCTTAGGGGAGGGGAAGGTCGGCAGATTCCACGAAATGTATGATGATCCACGTACATGTCAGTCTTCCTACAGAGCATGTTTCATTACCACCTTTTGACTGTAAATAAATTATCACTCTGCCTATACATCTGACACTAGAACCAAATACAATGGTAGGCCAGTCTGTTCTTGAGTTGCTTCCAAATTCCATTGCTTTAATATTACTCTCCTCCACACACACCTCTGCATCACTGAAACTCAGGACCAGCTACTAAATATAATTATTAAAAACAAAATCATTGGACAATGTAATTCTAGAGCTCTGATTGGCTTAGCCATCATAGCATATGAGCCATTACACCATGCTCTCCAAATATTGTAACTATCCACATCTGCTCAAAATGAAAAGCAAGCTGAAAATTACACAGTGGGTCGATCGTGGTTAGTAATCTTCTTACTGAAGCAAAACCTAAGTCTTCGTGGGTGGTTGCTTATGACTAGAGATTGGACTGTATTTTACAGTGCAAGAATGATCAGACTAGACACACTACCTGTTCACACTGCCATTCTGGGCTAGCACAAGGTCTTTTACTCTTCATTTTACCACATTGACAACTCTGTAAACTTTCCTTAGGACAAGGCAAACATTCACCTGAAATCATAAAATAAGATTAAGAAAGAAGCTTCATCCACTTCATTCATAGCAGTTTATCAAATCCAAGTAAAAATTAACAAGGATCAATAATATTTATTTTGAAATGAGTACATACCAGAATGACATGGTGTCTCACAGTTATGATGACCACAAAACAAGCGCTTCCCACATGGTTTTCCACATGACCACAATTTAGCACCGCAGCGTCTTACAACAGGAGGATGCGCGGCACAGTGACAGGACACCCGCACAGTCTTAGGACAAGGAGGACAGGGACCTGCAAGGGACACATTAAGCAGGCTGCAATAATAAACATATAGATATTGAACAAGGCTGAAGCTTTAAGAAACATGAAGCAACTACGGCAGAATACAGGCGGGCCATCCAAACTGTTCGAGGCATCATGATGTCACACATGACATGTGATCTCATACATTTACTGTGTTTCATAATGCCTGCTCTCAGCTTGATTAAAGTGATCATTAGAAATGCTTCATAAAAGACAGAATTTTGCACCTTTTGATCCCAAATGTATTATGTATGTAAAACTATGTATTAGTTAGGGGGTGTCAGTTTCAAGCAACTGAAAACGTCTCAAAAACGCAGAGCATGACACTAAAAATATAAGGTTTAAAAGTAATCTTTATTCATTTTTCTTACATTTGTGAACATTTGAGATCACAAGGTGCAAAATTCTGTGTTTTATGAAGCATTTCTACCAATCACTTGAATCCAGCCGAGTGCAGACATTACAAAATACAGTAAATGCATGGGATCACATGTCACCCATAACATCACAATACCTTGAACAGTTTGGATGGTGCACCTGCGCTGCAGAAGAACAGTTTACTACTTCTCAACCGAACCCCTGGATAAGGTCCTTTGTCCATTACAGTGTTGCCTTAGTGGTATGTCACTGTAGCCATTTATACTCCTTTTTTGTACTTTAACATGGGTAGTAAAGCATCTTTATGATATTTTTTCTTAACTTGACTTGGCTATGAACTATGGACTAAGTAAAAGTTCTGCCAAAAAGATTTAATTTGAATGGCCATGATAACATCAGAGAATTTTATCCAGAGAATCAAAAGTTAGAAAGACACTAGTTATATCACAACTTTAATAATTTTAGGAGTGTAATTAACGATGAACAAGCAACGCACCAGGGTGACAAAGCAGCAGGCAGTCATGACCACAGTCAGGTTTGAGAGGCTTGCTACAAGACTGGCCACAGGAATGTGGTGTCAGCCATGGATCAAAAGAGGGATTTTCCTTAAAAAAAAAAGACAGGACCAAAAAAATATTATTGATATAATTCCTACAAAAAGCAAAATACTCATGTTTGAGTTCACTAACTGTGAAGTTTTTCAAATTGGAATAGAATACATGTAGTTACCTGTTTTCCACAGAAGCAGTAATATCTTGTGGGACATTCTGATTGTTTGAACTCATATCTGCACTTTGGGCTAAAATGAAGCAAAAATCACCTTAATACTGTGGAATCATAGACACATACATGTAAATTGTTAACTATCTAGGGTAGTCTGATCATGAAATATCCGCCATCATTTTGCTCCACCCCCCCAACAGGAACTCTCTCAGGCTGGGGCAGAGAGGTTGCTGGCATTTCAGAATACTGTTCAGGGCTGTCACTAAGATTTTAAAACGCCAGGTAAATACAACAAGTAGGCGGGGAATCAAGGTGGTTTTATCGTCTTCTCTAGAGAGGAGAAGTCTTCACGTCGCATTGCCATGGTAGCAAATTTTTCTGGATGACAACAAACTGAAAATGTCACTTAAAAAGTGAATTTGCACTGCTTCAGACTTCCATCCATCTTATCAAATTTCATTTTTTGTCAAATATTGGTGAAATTTTCTGGGGTTGAATCCAAAAGGACCATATCTATGTTAAGGAAAAGAAAATTTTTGTTTTCTGTTCTCCTACTCCATAAAGTGGGCCATGAAATTGGGAAGTTTCATGTGATTGGCATACTTGTACAACGACGGCTAAAAAATGTACAGAAGCATGATGCATGTGCAGAGGTCTTGTTTTGCTAATATAAACCTATTGCTTTTTTGCAGTTCTCATTGCCGTCATCATCGTCATTGGTTAAGCCTCCAACTGTTGTGATCCAGAAATTTTGCTACCATGGTAACATGATGTCACAATTCTCCTCTCTATTATCCTATAAGAAATCAAGGGCCACATTCTTAGTAGCCCTTGATGACAGTCCAGTGACTGTTGATAAATTATCAAAATTATTTTACCAGTGCCATGGGATATCAGCTGGAGATATATTTTCTTGAGAATTCAACTGAGTATATGCAGCACCATCCCTGGCCCACTTCTGTATACACTGAAGGTGTAGAGTAGAGAAACACTGGCTACAGGTCCACACCTGAAAAGAACAATATATTTTCAGACTTTTCCCTCATGACATATAATATTTTATTATTCATTCAAAATATTTCACCGAATCTGATTGGCTAAAAGCACACGTTTAATTCACCATAACCAGTTACTGTTGACCAAATTTGGAAGAAATTTGACTTTAACGAGGAAATGACGTCAAAAATGCAGCTTTTCGCAGGTTAAGGCACCGTTAACCGAGAAGACCTGGGAACGAGGTTGAGTTGTTTTGGTTGGGAACTTGAAAAAATGGCGGACATTTCACTCGTTTCAAGAGTAAGAACTAGGCGAAAACATGGCTAAAAACATGGAAAGAACAGCAAGAAGACAACTCGAAGGGC